TCTGTCTCTGAACCAGATGGTATAGTTGCTCCCTCCTCTGGACTACACAAGAACTTTGTATAGATGTTTAGTGTGGTTCTAACTTTGCTGCACTTTCTTTATCTCCCTCTTTTTTTAACATTTAACATCATAAACTTTTTATTGTGAATTGAACAAATGTTTACAGAGCAGATTATTAGTTTTATGTTCGACAAATCATATACTGTGCTTCATTACATGCTTGCCATCCCCTCCATGTACCAACAGTTAACAGCATTTACTTCTATTCACTGTAACTACTGCATTTCCCATGTATCCCGCTACCATCATCTTGCCTCTGCTAACCTCCCTCTTGTTATATAATGCCTTCCCTATCACCTATTAAGTTACATGTGGTATGGCGCTGTGGGTTAATACGCCAGACTGCAAAACTGTTTGAACTGCAAGGTGGGTGGTTCAAAATCACCAGCTGCTCCTCAGAAACCCTATATGCAGGGTTGCTATGGGTCAGAACCAACTCAAGGGCACTTCACAGCAACAACACCCTCCAACTCATAATTTTCCCTTCCCCTTCTCCCCATAACCGTCATACATGGTTTCTCTTATCAAGAAAACCGTTAACTTATTACATTGTCTCATACAATGTTTGTCCTGTTGTAATTGACTCATTTCACTCAGCATAATGTCCTCCAGCTTCAACCATGCTGTGAGGTGTTTCACAGACTCATCATTATTCTTCAAGGTTTCCATAGTGTGTATGTACCGAAACTCATTTACCCATTCATTCTTCTGGTGATACACATTTAAAGTATCTCCATCTTTTTGATACCTTTCTGTAGATAGCATATTGAAGGATCTTGTTATCTTATCCATTCTACTTTCTATGTCTCTTGACTGGTACATTTAGCCCATTTATATTCAGTGTAATTACGAATCGGGCTGCTAACCTCAAAGTCGGCAGCTCGAAACTACCAGCTGTTCTGCAGGAGAAAGGTGAGGCTTTCTGCTCCCGTAAAGATTTACAGCCTCGCAAACACTGTACAGGGTTGCTATGAATAAGAACTGACTCCACGATACTTACCAACAACAACATGAACTGACTGCCATTTTTCTGTGTGTTTTTTGGTTGAGCTGCTAGTTCTTTGTTCCACATAATTTTCTATGCGGAGTTCATTTTGTTTGTAGGTTTTCATTTCATTTTCATTTCTGGTATGTTGTTGCTAAGTGCCGCTGAGTGGATTCCGACTCAAAGCAACCCTGTATAGGGTTTTCGAGGAACAGCTGGTGGGTTTGAACCACTGACCTTGTGGGTCACAGTCTAGTGCTTATCCTACAGCACCACACCAGGACTCCTCAGTTGTATGTTTACTAAATCATTCTGATTATCCCTCTCCCCTTTTTTTATTTTGATGTTCAGGTGTATTATTTTTCTTGGATGCTACTCTGAAATTTATGAATTTTTTTCCCTGTTTAAAAGTCTGTTTTATCTTGAAATCTACTTGACTTCCTTGCCATTTTGAAGTTCTGTATCTACACTATTCCCTCTTTTTGCTTTGTAATTGACATCATTATACAGTGATATCTCTGGTTCCCTATTTACAGTCTTATAGGTTTGTTTTAAATACTTTATAACTGTATTGAGTTCTGGGTGATGGTTTTTTGTATGGTAATCTCAAGTTGTTGTCTGCTGTTGTTGGTTGTCAGCCAAAGAACACTCTTTAGAATTTTTGTAAAGTAGATCTGGTCATTAAAAATTCCTTTTCCTTTCAGAGTTTTGTATATGCCATCCCATTGCCTAATTCTGATCACCTGTAATTAGCTGTTCTTCATGGTGTCCCATATAACTCTTAAGCTTCCACATATTTTTTCCTTCTTTTCTCTGATTATTCTTCTAGCATACCAGTATTGGGAGATTTCCATTGCTTCCTATATACGTCTTTGCCCTTTCAGTGTATTGTTCATTCCTAAGATCTTAATATTAATCTGAATTTTTAACTGCAGGTTTTGTATTGTTCCAAAATGTGAAATTATTTTGTCTATTTAGAATTCTTCTACAGTTTTTATTGTGTTCTCCTTGCTTTCCTTGATCTAGCGATCCTTTCAACTTAATTATCATTCTCTTGAATTCTTTTTCAGTTATTTTTAGTACCTTTTCTTCCTCAGAAACATCTTCTAGCTCTGTATCTTGATAATTTGTTTGAGCCATTCTCTCTTGTTTCTTCATGTAAGCTAAACTGTCTATTGCACCTAGGGCATTATGGGAGTGTCGTATTTGTGAAAACCAACAGTGCAGTTGTTAGAAGGAATAAATCTCTGGTGGGCTCCTGCAATTCAAGGAGCTCAGAAGGTGGTTGTGGATGGAAGTGACAGCTTGGTTCCTGGTCCTAGATGGACTTCCTATGGGCCTCCATGTCATCTATATTTAGGGCACTCAATCTGGACGTAGTTCATGGTGACCCTTGATGGAGCTGGTTTCAGTGTCTGTTAGGACCACAGGGTAGCTGGGGGCAGGGTGATTAGTTAAATGCTCATCTGGTGGCTCTTTAGGTTTTGTAGGTCTGGAGTCAAGCCTACCTGAATCCAGGCACCAAAGCGGCACACCAAAGCAGCACAGCTGGCCCCCACCTCACTCTCGCATGGCTCTCAACCATGCGGCTCCAAAATCCCAGAGAGCAGGGTCTGTGCTGGGGTAGATGACAGTAAGAGCTGGCCATACTTCTGGTCACCACAGGAGCACAGGGGGAAAAAAAAATCACACCTTTTCCATCAGCTGCTCAACTCTTCTCTGCCAGGCCACCCTCCACTGTCAAAGCTGCTCCTAAGATAGTCAAGCCTCGTTTGGTCAGACTTTCACCAGTCAGTCCCCCCTCCCACTGTTCCTGCTTGGCCTCTCCTCCCAGCAAGTAATTCATCCACTTCCCTAACCTTTCTTCTGCAGTCAAGGGTGTCAGAAATTTCACCTGTGTTTGCTTTATTTTGTCTCTTGTATCTTTGTTGTAGAGAATCCATGTAATGTGTCTGCCTAGTCTGCATTTATCAAAAGTCAGCATTTATCGAAAGTCTACATTTTCACTTTTATGTTACACATTTGTCTCTACTACTAGACTGTTCATTTTTGGAAGACCAGATCCACAACTTTTCTTTGTATTCTCAGTAATAAGCATTGACTTGTCCATTAAAAAGCACTTAAAAGTACAAAAGATGGATGGAAGGATGATGGATGGATGGATGGGAGGAAAGGTGGACTAAAATCTTGACCAGGACTTCAAGGACTTAAGTAGAATTAGAAGAGTTATAAGGAGTGATTGTCAAACTTTTTCAGTGAAATACACTGTATCTGTCAACTTACCACTATCAAAAATGAATCTGTACCTGAATTAATAGACCAGTTTTTGGGATAATGTTAAACATTAACATTGGAAATTCCTTATATAACATTATAAGGAATTAATTCATGACAAAAACTCAAGTACAGTGATTGTCATATTATTGCATATGTCTTACAGATGGGTTGACCTAATCCTTAAGGTAAAGGTATCTATAGAATAATACAAAATGACAGTTTTCTCAGTAATAATAGAAAAGAAGCTGGTGCTAGGATGGTCTTACCCAAATAGGATGACATTTCCTAAGGTACTCCTTTCTCCATTACCCAGTAAAATCAACACTAAGTTTTCAATGCAAAGACAAAGAAAAGAAAGCATTCACTCACTGGTAAGGTGAGTAGAGTACTAGAAGAACACAGGGCCAGGATACCACTGGGCTAATGTACTACTCTGCAACCACTTAGCTAAATGGTCGAGGAAGGCCACTGAGTCTTTCTGGGTCTCTGTTTTTTCATATGTGTTGTTATTGTTAAGTGCTGTTGAGCTGGTTCTGACCCAAAGCCACCCTGTATAGGGTTTCCAAGGAACGGCTGATGACTTTGAACCGCTGACCTTGAGGATCAAACTGACTTTGCAGTCCGGCACATTATCCCACAGCACCACACCAGGACTCTATATGTAAATTAAGAGTGTCAATATAGTGTTTGGAAAACATCTATTTATGTCTTAGAGCCTCAGGATTCTATGAAAGTTCCTCATAGGCTCCTTGGGGTTGAGGTATGTGTGGCACACATGAAGAGGAGGCCAAGCAGGTAAAGCATGGCAACTTTCTGTCAGTCAAAACACCAGCTCCACTCTACCTAGTTTATATATTGAAACTTCATATAAGATTTTGTTTGGGAAAAAAAGAGCTCTATTGCTAAAAAGGAGTCCTGGTGTGGCACTACGGGTCAATGCACTGGACTGTAAAGATGGTTTGAACCACAAGGTCAGCGGTTCAAACTCACCAGCTGCTCCTTGGAAACTCTACACAGGGTCGCCGTGGGTCAGAACCAACTCCACAGCACTTAACAACAACTGCCAAAAAGGGAGCAAGCCTGGTAAATATTGACCCAAATGGCTTTCCCGGTTGGATTTTATGCTAAGTCTAATTCCCCAGTCTATCTACTTAGGAGACACATTAGCAAACATCCATGGTCATTCATTCAACATTTACTAGATGCCTAGCAGGTGCAAGCACTATGTTGGATACTATGGGAACAATGGTCCAGTATTAAAATCATTTGAGATCAAAATAAAAAATATTATAGAGCAAAATAAAAAGGAAAAGCCTACAATTTATTTCTCATCTAAGATTTCCTGAGTTGTTTTCATGGAGTTATTGGTGCAGAAATGAATATATTAGCTACAGGCAAACACTCATTTTCTGTTAGTTTAATGATTTGCAGAGAAGTAAGAAGAGACGGCAATAACCAAGAGCAACAGCATTGAATCATGATAATATTAATGCATATTTTGCAGACCACTGGAAAATTTTGCAAACATCTTATCAGCAATATGAGAATCTTGCCAACCATGATCCAAACCAGCCCCATCCAATTTCTCTTTCAAAAATCAACATTACAGGACAAAAGTTATGATCATCACTTACGCTCTTCTTGCCTCCTACTCCTCAACTGCATAAAGGGGGACGTTTCAGCCAACGAAATTCATTACAACAAGGTGTAAAATGGTGCTAGCAAAGAGAAAATCAGCGAAGGCCCGCTCCGGAGAGATGCCTTGGAAATCTGCTTTGTTCTGTGGGTTGATCTGTATTCTCAGACAAACTAGAAATGAAGCAAAATATAAAAATGATTATCTAGAAGTATAAAACAAATATGTCTGCTAATGAACACCCAATGAACACACATATACCCTGTGACCCAACAAAAGACATGCAGGAATGTTCACAGCATGATAAACCCAAAGTGGAAGCAGTCTAAATGTCTATCAACAGTACAAAGGTGTCTTAATGATCTAATGCTGCTATACCAGAAATACCACAGGCGAGGTGACTTTAACAGACTGAAATTTCTTTTCTCCCAATTGAGGAAGTTAAGTCCAAATTCAGAGTGCCAGATCTAGAAGGTTTTCTTTCTCTGTCAGCCCTGGGAGAAAGTCCTTGTCTCTTTTCAGCTTCTGTTCCTTGGCAAATTATTTGGTTTGCCATCTAACTTTCCCCATTTCTACTGGCTTGGTGGTTGGTGGTTATATGCCGTGGAGTCGGTTCCGACTCATAGCGATCTTGTACAGGGTTTCTGAGGCGGTAAATCTTTACAGGAGCCGAACTGTAGTACACAGTTAAGTATTGAAGCTCACTGATGCTACAGATCATGTGTATGTGTATGAAACAAATTAGATGATTTTTCATTTTAAACTCACCTATAAGGAGCTCTGGTAGCGTAGTGGTTACGAATCGGGCTGCAAACCTTAAGGTCAGCGGTTCGAAACTACCAGCTGCTCCGCGGGAGAAAGATGAGGCTTTCTACTCCCGTAAAGATTTACACCCTCGGAAACCCTGTACAGGGTCGCTATGGGTCGGAACCGACTCGACGGCACTTAACAACAACAACAACATATTCTGGAGTAAACAATTCAATCACTGAGAACTCTATAAATAAATGGTGGTAGATGCATACAACCACCACTCCTCTGTCAGCTTGTCATACTGTAGTAGCTTATGTGTTGTTGTGATGCTGGAAGATATGCCACCGGTATTTAAATACCAACAGGGTAGATCCACGCTGCATAGGTCTCAGCTGAGCTTCCAGACTAAGACAGACTAGGAAGGCAGAGAGGCAGACTATTTCTGAACGTTTTATCACTGATAATCTTATGAATAAGGAGCTCTGGTAGCGTACTGGTTACGAATTGGGCTGCAAACCGCAAGGTCAGCAGTTCGAAACTATCAGCTGTTCCGTGGGAGAAAGATGAGGCTTTCTGCTCCTGTAAAGATTTGCAACCTCAGAAACCCTGTACAGGGTCGCTATGAGTCAGAACCGACTCCACAGTACACAGCCACCACCACCAATCTTATGAATAGCAGTGGAACACTGTCAGAGAGCACCAGATTACTGAATACTGAATCATGCATGATGAACAGTAGCAGAATACTGTCAAACATAGTGTCAGAAAATGAGCCCCTCAGGTTGGAAGGCACTCAAAATATGAATGGGGAAGAGCAGCCTGCCTCCTCAAAGTACAGTTGACCATGATGATGTGAATGCAGTAAAGCTTTCAGGACCTTCACTTGCTGATGGGGCACAATTCAAAATGAGGAGAAGCAGCTGCAAACATCCATTAATAACTGGAACACAGAATCATGAACTATGAATCTATGAAAACTGTAAGTTGTCAAAAATGAAATGGGATACAAAATGATCAATAGACTAGGCATCAGTGAACTGAAGGAGCTCTGGTAGTGTAGTGGATAGGAGTCGGGCTCAAGGTCAGCCATTCGAAACTACCAGCTGTTCCGCAGGAGAAAGATGAGGCTATCTGCTCTGTAAAGATTTACAACCTCGGAAACCCTATGCAGGGTCTCTGTGTGTTGGAACCAACTCCACAGCATACCACCACCACCACAGTGAACTGAAATAGACTGGTACTGGCCATTATGAATCTGAGAATCGTATGGTTTACTGTGCCAGGAATGACAAATTGAAGAGGAATGGGGCCACATTCACCATCAAAAAGAACATTTCAAGATCTATCTTGAAGTATAATGCTATCTGTGACAGGAAATATCCATAGAACTACAAGGAAGACCACTGTTATTCAACTTTATGAAATAACCACTAACATCAGTGACGATGAAACTGAAGCATTTTACCAACGTCTTCTGTCTGAAATTGATCAAATCAAGACACAATGATAATTACTCGTGGTTGAAAAGAAAGAGGAATGATCAGTAGTTAGAAAATACGGACTTGGTGATAGAAATGATAATGCAGATTTCATGATAGAATTTTAGAATTACAGTGACTTGTTCATTTACAAATACCATTATTAAACAACATAAAAGAGACTATACACATGGACCTCACCAGATGGCATACAGCGAAATCAAACTAACTACATTTGTGGGAAGAGACAGAGGAAAAGCTCCATATTAGCAGTAAAAACAAGGCCAGGGACAAACTGTGGAACAGACCATCAATTGTTTATAAGCAAGTTCAGGCTGAAGCTGAAAAAAATTAAAACAAGTCCACAAGAGCCAAAATATGACCTTGAACATATCTCAATAGAATTCTGAGATCACTGCAAGAACAGATTTGATGCATTAGACACTAACGACTGAAAACCAGAAGAGTTACAGGACGAAATTAAGAACATCTTACAGGAAGAAAGTAAAAGGTCATTAAGAAGACAAGAATGAAGGAAAAGACCAATATATATGTCAGAAGGCATTCTGAAACTTGCTCACTAATATAGAGATGCAAAAGCAAATGACAGCAATGAGGAAGTAAAAGAACTAAACAGAAAAATTTAAAGGATAGCTATGAAGACAAAGTATTATAATACAATGTGCAAAAATCTGAAGCTGTAAAATCAAAAGAGGCGAATACGTTCAGCATTTCTCAAGCAAGCTGAAAGAACTGAAGAAACAATTCAAGCCTCAACTTGAAATACTGTAGGATTCTTTGGGCAAAATATTGAAAGATGCAGAAAGCATGAAAAGGAGATGGAAAGAATACACAGAGTCACTGTACCGAAAAGCAATGGATGATGTTCAACCATTTCAAGAAATAGCATATGATCATTAGTCAATGCTACTGAAGAAATAGCATATGATCATTAGTCAATGCTACTGAAGAAATAGCATATGATCATTAGTCAATGCTACTGAAGGAAGAAGTCCAAGGGGCATTGAAGGCAATGGGAAAGAACAAGTCTCCAGGAATTGATGGAATACAATTTGAAATCTTTCAACAAACTAGTGCAGCACTCATCTACACCAAGAATTCTGAAAGACAGCTACCTGGCCAGTTGATTGGAAGAGCTTCATCTTGTGCCCATTCCATGGAGAGGTGACCCAACAGGATGCAGAAATCATCAGACAAAATCATTAATACCACATGTAAGTAAAATTTTTTTGAAGATAATTCAAAAACGGCCACTACAGTACAATGACAGAGAACTGTCAGAGGTTCAAGCCAGATTCAAATGAGGACGTCGAATGAGGGATATCATTGCTGACATCAAATGGATGTTGGCTGAAAGCAGAGAATACCAGAAAGATGTTCCACCTGTCTTTTGTTGACTATGCAAAGGCTTTCAGTGTTTGGATGTTGACAGGCTATGGACAAAACTGGGGATGAATGGGTGTTGCAGAACACGTAAGTGTGCTCATAAGGAACACAAGAGGCAATCGTTCTAACAGAACAAAGAGACACTGAATGGTTTAAAATTATGAAAAATATATACCAGAGTTGTATTCTTTTATCATACTTATTCAATCTGTAAACTGAGCAAATAATCTGAAAAGATGGATTATATGTAAAAGAACGTAGCATCCGGACTGGAGGAAGACTCATTAACAACCTGCGATATGCAGATGATACAACCCTGATTGCTGAAATCTAAGAGGACTTAAAATACTTAGTGATCAAAAGACAACAGCCTTCAGTATGGGTTGCATGCACCTCACTGTAAAAAAAAACCACCACTGGATCAACAAATAACATCATGATAAATGGAGAAAAGTTTGAAGTTGTCAAAGATTTCATTTTGCTTGGATTCACTATTCAACACTCATGGAAGCAGCAGTCAAGAAATCAAAGGATATATTTCATTAGGCAAATCTACTGCACAAGACCACTTTAAAGAGTTCAAGACTAAAGATGTCAGTTTGAGGACTAAGGTGTACCTGACCAAAGTCATGGTATTTTCAAAAGTCTCATATGAATATAGAAGTTGGACAGTGAACAAGGAAGACAATAAAAGAATTGATGCTTTTGATTCATGGTGTTGGAAAAGAACTTTAGAAGTACCATGGACTGCCAGAAGAACAAACCGATCTGTGTTGTTAGAACTACAGCCAGAAGGCTCCTTAGAAGCCAGGATGGTGAGACTTCGTCTCTTATACTGTGGACATACTTCCAGGAGGGACATCCAGATAGGTCAAGTGGAGAGTCAAGAGAAAAAGAAAAATACTCCAATGAGATGACTGGTACAGTGGCGCAGCACTGGGTCAAGTTTAACAACTGTGAGGCTGGTGCAGGACCGGGCAGTGTTCAGTTCTGCATACATAAGGTCACTATGAGTCAGAACCAACCAACGCAGCACCTAACAGCAACAATATGCATACAATACTTACTGTACAACAATGAACAAGAAACCACTTCTATTACAAACAACATGGATGGATTTCATAAAGACAATGTTGAACACCACAATCCAGCCATTAAAAGTACATTCAGGGGGAAAACAGTAAGAAAAAAGTACATTCTGTATTATTCCATTTATATAAAGGGTAAAGCCAGGCAGAACTAATTTATGGTAACAGAAATCAGGATAACAGATTTCTCTTTCATGAGGCAAAACAAAGGAAGGTGAGTGAGAGGGAGCATGGAGTAAGCTTCTAGAACCCTGGTTATGTTCTCTATCTTGATCTGGGTGGTAACCAGATACGTAAATTGTTTAAGACATGGTGAATACTTAAGTTTGTGCTCCTACCTGTAAAAGGAAAGTTAAAGAAAAAAATAATGACTGCTCAGAGTTAGATTAAAAATCAGAGGCTTACTTCTCAAAGGAAAAAACATATGTAACCACAAAACCTTCAGAA